GAACTTTTATACTAAGGGATGTTTTTCTTATTATTTCTTTCATTTTTATACTTCCGGATACTCACTTTATACATTCGTTTCTTAGGGAAAATTTTGTTTCATAACTTCGGCAATTTGATTCATATCGAATCAGATCTGTCAGGTATCCGTGTCAGGATACCCAACTTCGGCAATTTGATCTTTAACAAGATTAAATCTGTCAGACATCCGTGTCGGGATGTTATCAACTTGGTAGTAATCGTATATGATGATAAAAGTGTTTGTACAATTCTAATCAATCACTCTCACTAATATTCTGAGCAGTTACTTTCAAAAACTGGCAAAAAGAAAAGTGTCACATAACAAGAAGTTTCTATCAATCGAACGAACTTTTATACTAAGGGATGTTTTTCTTATTATTTCTTTCATTTTTATACTTCCAGATATTCACTTTATATATTCGTTTCTTAGGGAAATTTTGATTCATAAATTCGGTAATTTGATTCATATCGAATCAGATCTGTCAGGTATCCGTGTCAGGATATCAAACTTCGGCAATTTGATCTTTAACAAAATTAAATCTGTCAGACATCCATGTCGGGATGTTATCAACCTTGGGAGTAATCGTATATGATGATAAATTATGTAAAAGTGATTGTACAATTCTAATCAATCACGCTCACTAATATTCTGAGCGATTACTTTCAAAAAAGAAAAGAAGCAGAAAGAATCCTGTCAAATAACAAGAAACTGATCTTCAAGAATTAATCAAGATGTTATTCTTTTCTATGCTATCAATAGAACGACTTTTACACTAAGGGAGTTTTTTTAGATTATTATTTCTTTTATTTTTATACTTCCGGATATTCACTTTATACATTCATTTCTTAAGGAAAATTTGATTCATAACTTCGGCAATTTGATTCATATCGAATCAGATCTGTCAGGTATCCGTGTCGGGATATCCAACTTCGGCAATTTGATCTTTAACAAGATTAAATCTGTCAGACATCCGTGTCGGGATGTTATCACCCTTGGGAGTAATCGTATATGATGATAAATTATGTAAAAGTGGTTATACAATCACGCTCACTAATATTCTGAGCGATTACTTTCAAAAAAAGAAAAGAAGCAGAAAGAATCCTGTCAAATAACAAGAAACTGATCTTCAAGAATTAATTAAGATGTTATTCTTTTCTATGCTATCAATCGAACGACTTTTACACTAAGGGAGTTTTTTTAGATTATTATTTCTTTCATTTTTATACTTCCGGATATTCACTTTATACATTCGTTTCTTAAGGAAAATTTGATTCATAACTTCGGCAATTTGATTCATATCGAATCAGATCTGTCAGGTATCCGTGTCGGGATATCTTCAGCAATTTGATCTTAAATCTGTCAGACATCCGTGTCGGGATGTTATCAACTTTGGAAGTAATCGTATATGATGATAAATTATGTAAAAGTGGTTGTACAATCACGCTCACTAATATTCTGAGCGGTAACTTTCAAAAAACTGGAAAAAGAAGAAGCGAAAAGAATCTCATCAAATTACAAGAAGTTGATCTTCAAGAACTAGACAAGATAAAAGAAACGAGACACTCTTTTAATTTTTATATATAAATGCGATCTTCTCATATTTGTGTTTGTTATTATATCTAATTTTAATAAGTCTTTTACTTGAGTTTTATATTTTGGATTTTTTAATGTAATTAATACAAACCAAACTAATCAGATTTATTGAATCAATAAACTTTTTTTAATGTCATTAGTATCGAATTTGTATTAAAATAATTTGAAATTTATTATTTTGATTTGAAAATTATTTTGAAAAAAGTTTATTATACAAACTGATTAGATTTACTGAATTAATAATTCTGTATATGCGGGTTCTATAAAGTTTTAAATTTATTATTTCAATTTTGGCCAGAATTGAGTCAGCCGTTCTTCGTTTTGTCAGTTTGCCTAATCATGAACCAAATTTATTTGATGAAAGATTCAAGAAAATCAAATTGCTGTTTTCGATAAGAGCATCTGCTATTGATTTTACTCCGAGACAGCCAAGATCATTGTTTGAAATGTTTAAAGAGGTATTTTTACAAAGAGTAATTGTAATACATTTCCAATATCAGATCCAAGTTTATTACTTGAAGTGTCTATTGTTGTTAATGTTTTGTTATTGCAAAGAGCATTTATTGATAAATTTGACCAATCATGAAAAAGAACTTCAAATTCACGAATTACCAGTACGTCATTTGTATTATTACAATTCGAACATCTGAATTAATTTCAAATTTTCCTGTTCTGCGTTGATGTATTCACGAGTGGCATCTGCCAATGCTTTTATTTCTACCTAAAGTCATTATGTCAGTAAAAACATGAATAGCATAATCAATATAATTATTCTCCGGAATTGAAATATAATTTTTCACTTGTCACTACGCAAAAATTGGGATATTTGATTTGTCAACAGGCCTTTCTGACGAAAGAATTCATTCAATTTATGCAAGTTATTGTAAATATATGGGGTGAGTCAATAGAAATCAAGCAAAATTTTTTATAATAAATTTATTTTTAAACTTTAAGTATATTTTTATAGTATTATTTATTTAATTTTAAGTATAAATAAGTAAAAATCAACTTCTTGAGAATGAAATATAGAAACTACAGCAAGCGAAAATTATGACTCGCGCGAAACACCAACGTTATACTCGTTCCAGTGGCTTGAATCCAAAAGAGGATCTTGATAAGTTTCTAACCGAACACATCAATTACTTACAAAGGGAAAAAAAACGAGTTGAAAGGTTCTTCAAAGAAAATAGAATAAACGGCAAAAATTTAGAAACAAATTTGGGAGAACTAGAAGTAATCATTAAAGAAAGAGATGATTATTTGAAAAAACTTGAAAAAAGCATTGAAGAAAGAAATGAATTTAAGAAGAGTATAGACAAATATAAAATTACACAAAAAATCGCGATTGAATTGATAAATAAACTAACAATAGAAAAGAATGAATATAAAGAACAAATCACTAGACTAAGCGATCAAAACCAACAATACCAACAAGAAATCACTACACTCGAAACTATGAGAAGCTGGAGCGGAATTACGATTGCCAGGCAAAATTTACGAATAAGACATTTAGAAGATTATGTAGAAAGTTTCAGTTCGTTAGGAAGAGGTAATATATTCTTTTATCAATTTGATTGTATTAATAGCTAATGCTAGTTATTAGAAAATTCAAGACTGATCCGACAAGAAAGAATGCCGAGAATCCAACAAGAAAGAATGCCGAGAATCCAGCAAGAAAGAATGCCGAGAATCCAACAAGAAAGAATGCAACAAGAAATCAATAGACTTCGCGAAGAAACCCATTTTCTAAGTCAGGTCGTGGGAGGAAGAATGATAGCAGGAGCCATCAATGAACTTCGTGATGACAACCAATGTCTTGATCAGGAGAACCAACTCCTTAATCAGGATCTTGAAATAGTGAGAAGGCTTGGCGACAATCAGATTGCTAGTCAAAATGGTCAAATAAGAAATTTGCGGGAACAAGTAGAACAATATAGTGCGCAACTAAGAGAAAGAGGTAAAATATTCTTTACAAATTTGATAATATTCTTAATTACTTACGCTTCTTATTAGGAATTCCTACAATACCGATGTTAATGAGAGAAGATGCTTTCCTTCACGGAGATGATGCTTCCATTCTCGAAGGAGAAGATATGGATATTAATTAACAAAATGTTTGCGTTAATCTCATTTTTGGTATTCAATAAAATTATGAAGTCATTGTCGTATCTCTCAGAATTTTCAGACATTTAAGGAAATCATTATATCATCATACAAGACAATTTTATAAATACTAGTAGTAATAACGAACGGCCTCACCGAGACACAGTCTTCATTAATACTACACCGGCCAATTGAAATAACAATCATAATGAACGGCCTCACCGAGACACAGTCTCCATTAATTAAAAATAGGCCGGTTTATAATTATTTGCAAAAAAATGTATAAGTGAATATATGAACAAATAATAATAAAAAATAAACAAAATTTAACTTCCTTTGAGTAATAAAGTCATAAGTTTCATGAAAGATTAAGTTAATTTTAAAATGTTCGACGAGTAAATAAATAGTTAACGCCCCCAAGTTGATCATTTCTAGATTTCTGAGAATAATTGGATTTTTATGTTAGAAATTAACTAAATCCGATTTGTCAATAAAAGCTTTCGAGATCAGTTCTGGTCAGACTACACATACCTCGTGAAAAGTAAAAGGTACTTTAAAAATGCATAAATTCTATTTTTAGGCATGGAAACGAGAGAAAATATTTACTAAGTATGCATCAATTGAGTATCCGTAACAGATTTTGCAAGGCGTACAATTTTAATTGGTACTTAAAGTTGGCTAAATTTTTAATTGATTATCAAATGATTTTCGAATGCCTCTAGGTTTCACTAGAAATATTTTCCAGTTTTGCTTCTTGAAGAAGTGCAATTATCAAATGATTTTTCGAACGCCTCTAAGTTTCACAATTGTGAATACAAGAAATCTTTCCAATTTTGCTTCTTTGTTTGAAACTTGAAAATACAAGAATTCCTTGATTTATCAAATTATTTTTCGAACACCCCTAGGTTTCACGAGAAATCTTTTTCAGTTTTGCTTCTTGAAGAAGTGCAATTATCCTTTTTTAAACCAAATTATTTTAATTGGTGCAATAAGTATGTGCATTTTTTAATTTATCAAATGATTTTTCGAACGCCCCTAGGTTTCACGATAAATCTTTTCCAGTTTTGCTTCTTGAAGAAGTGCAATTATCTTTTTAAAACCAAATTAATTTAGTGCATGTTTTAATTTATCAAATGATTTTTCGAACGCCTCTAAGTTTCACAATTGCGAATACAAACTTGAAAATACAAGAATTCCTTGATTATCAAATGATTTTTCGAATCCCCTAGGTTTCGCGAGAAATCTTTTCCAGTTTTGCTTCTTGAAGAAGTACAATTATTTCTGCACCAATAAATTAATTTGCTTTTTATTATAATTGTAACACATAGAGGCGTTCGAAAAATCATTTGATAATCAAGAAATTCTTGTAATTTTCATTTATTAATCATTGTGAAATCTAGTGGCGTTCGAAAAATCATTTGATCATTTGATAATCAGAAATTCTTGTAATTTCAGCTTCAATTGTGAGACATAGGGGCGTTTGAAAAATCACATTCATAATTATGAAACTTAGGGCGTTCTAAAAATCATCATAATTGTGAAACCTAGAGGCGTTCGAAAGATCATTTGATCATTTGCCTTTAAAAAAAGAATTTTTATTTGGGAAACAAACCTGTAAAATTGAAAGAATTTCTTTTATACATACTTTCTGCACCAATAAATTAATTTGTTTTTTTAAGAAAAATTTTTGCTTTTGTAGATGCGTTCGAAAAATCATATGATAATCAAGAAATTCTTGTAATTTCAAGCTTCAATTGTGAGACATAGGGGCGTTCGAAAAATCATATTCACAATTGTGAAACTTAGGGGCTTTATAATTGTGAAACCTAGAGGCGTTCGAAAAATCATTTGAAATTACTAATTGTACTTTTTTTGGAAAGATTTTCTTGTTTATACATGCTTTCTGCACCAATAAATTAATTTGTTTTTTTTAAGAAAAAAGTTTATTATGATTGTGACACATAGAGGCATTCGAAAAATCATTTGATAATCAAGAAATTCTTGTAGTTGCTTTTAAAAAAAGAATTACTAATTGTACTTTATTTAAGAAACAAAACTGTAAAATTGAAAAGATTTCTTGTTTATACATGCTTTCTGCATCAATAAAATGTTTTAAGAAAAAATTCTTGCTTTTTGTATCATTGTAAAAATTAGAGGCATTCGAAAAATCATTTAGAATTACTTTTTTCAAGAACGCACATGCTTTGCTTTTGTATAATTGTGAAACCTAGAGGCGTTCGAATAATCAAATTTGATTATTTGTTTAAAAAAAGAATTACTAATTGTACTTTTTTTCAAGAAACGTACATGCTTTAAATTAATTTGTTTTAAATTCATTTACAATTGTGAAACTTAGGGGTTTTCTAAAAATCATCATAACTAATTGGAAAGATTTCTTGTTTATACATGCTTTCTGCACCAATAAATTAATTTATATTATAATTGTGAAACCTAGAGGCGCTCGAAAAATCATTTGATCATTTGCTTTTAAAAAAGAATTATGTAAAATTGGAAAGGTTTCTTGTTTATACATACTTTCTGCACCAATAAATTAATTTGTTTTTTTAAGAAACAAGTTTTGCTTTTTGAATAAAAAATTCTAGCTTCAATTGTGAGACATAGGGGCGTTTGAAAATTACATTCACAATTGTGAAACTTAGGGGCTTAATAATTGTGAAACCTAGAGGCGTTCGAAAAATCATTTGATCATTTGAAAGAATTACTAATTGTACTTTTTTTTGGAAAGATTTTCTGTTTATACATGCTTTTTGCACCAATAAATTAATTTGTTTTTTATTATAATTGTGACACATAGAGGCGTTCAAAAAATCATTTGATAATCAAGAAATTCTTGTAATTTTCATTTATTAATCATTGTGAAATCTAGTGGCGTTCGAAAAATCATTTGATCATTTGATAATAATCAGAAATTCTTGTAATTTAAGCTTCAATTGTGAGACATAGGGGCGTTCGAAAAATCACTTTCATCATAATTGTGAAACCTAGAGGCGTTCGAAAGATCATTTGATCATTTGCCTTTAAAAAAATAATTACTAATTGTACTTTATTTAAGAAACAAACCTGTAAAATTGAAAGAATTTCTTTTATGCATGCTTTCTGCACCAATAAATTAATTTGTTTTTTTAAGAAAAATTTTTGCTTTTGTACTATAACTGTAAACCTAGATGCGTTCGAAAAATCATTTGATAATTGTGAAACCTAGAAGAGTTCGAAAAATCATTTGATCATTTACTTTTAAAAAAAGAATTACTAATTGAGAATTACTAATTGTACTTTTTTTCAAGAAATAAAACTAAAATTAGAAAGATTTCTTGTTTTTCTGCACCAATAAATTAATTTGTTTTGTATCATAATAATGAAACCTAGAGGGGTTCGAAAAATCATTTGATAATAATGAAACCTAGAGGGGTTTGAAAAATCATTTGATAATCAAGAAATTCTTGAAATTTCAAGCTTCAATTAAAAAAATTAATTATTTAAATTATTAAATGCGACAATTAGTTATCTGACTACATTTTAATTTTCTTAAGTTTCACAATGTAAACAAGAAAATTGTTTAATCTTCTAAATTTAGATTAAACTAGTGAATTTGGCCCAGTTTAAAATTTAATCAGTTAATCTTATTGTAGAGATGTGACTTGGTCATAAATTTTATATGTAAAAACCGGTTTTTACATATAAAATTTATGATTGGGTCGCATCTCTAGATGTGAATCATTTACAGATCTTAATAAAAATTTCCATTTTTTAAATATTAAAATTTTTTAAAAAAAGTACTTATGCAAATAGTTCATTTAAATCATTATTATTTTATTAACTTAATAGATAAGCTTAACTAAAATATTTACTAAGGTTTAACATAGGCTTAATTAAAATATTAACAATTGACCTTTTATCTTTTGGAAAACATTTTGCTCTAAACATATTTATATCTTTAAATTTTAATCATAATTAAACAAATTAAAAAATTTTTATTTTTAATTAATCTGTTCATTGCCAAAGTAATGTAAAATTTAAATTCTTTATCGTTCAGGTAGGATATTTGTAAAAGAATTAAGATGCTAACCTTATTTTTTTTCAATGATAGCGATAAGTAAAGTCAAGAAGTCATCTCTATTAATTTCCTGAAGAGAATTTAAAGTAATGTTTAAATCTCGTATTTTTACAAGAAAATTTTCTAAATTAATATTTTCATTTTCTATAACAATCACAGTAAATTCATAAATTTTTCTCAATTTTGATATTTCCGAGAACATTGATTCAGAAATTGCTTGTTTGATCATTTTATTGATTTCTTTAATCTTTAGATTTTCAGCAACAAACGTTTGTGTTTTGATAGAATCATAAATCGACTTAAACATAATAAATTTACTATAAACCTCAGCCCAGTCTAGGTCGATCTTAGTTTGCCTTTTTCTTTCAAGAATATTTTCATTATAAATTTTCCACTCTTCCACATTAAATCCGGTAATACTTATCACTGGAGCAACGGAAGGAGGAAATTTTTCATTGTTTTGAATTCTTCCGATATAGTCGGTTTTTTTTTTCTTTGTTTCAGACATAATTTAATGGTTAAAAAGAAATAATAATAAAATAAAAGAACGATATTTAAAATATGATACTTTGAAAAGAGCGATATTTAGTAGGGCTATCAATTTGTGACAATCTTATGTTAAAAAAAGATTAAATATTTATGTTGTGAAACCAAGTTCGCATAAATTTTTATCTCAATTTTGCCCAATTTTAATTCTGCCCAGTTTTCAGAAAATTTAGTTGTTGATTTCGAGTAACATTCATTGAGTCACAAGAAATTTGAAAGAATCTCGTTCACTTTCTGCCTGCGTTAAACAAACCAATTCACCACTTTTAGATATCCGATAAATATTAACAAGATGAATTACATTGACTGCAGCAAAGTTAACATAAATTAAAACAAATATGAATTAATTATCTCCTTATTAGAAATATAGTATTATGTAATATGAATAACCGAGACAGATTTTTTATCACTTTGAACAGAT